TCTTGGACGGGTCGGTGAGGCCAAGGCTCACCTCCTAGGTTCCCTTGGCGTTGATAGCTTTGTGAAGCACTGCCATCGTCAATATCTCCTATTCTTCTGGGGGCACCTTCTATGACTCGGTGAGGCAGGCATCCATGTGAAGGGAGAGGTCGACTGCCTCAGCGAGAGCAAGACTCTCGTTCTCTCAGGCGTAGGCAACGACGAGGTTAGCTTGCAAGGTAAGGACTCCTCCAGGGGCTGGCATCATGAGCACCATGTAAGGATAGTGCGGTATGGCCATGAACTTGGTCAATGCCGGGTGGCCGAGGATGGCGTGGTAGGCGGTGTAAAAATTAGCCACCAGAAAGCTAATGTACTCGATGCGAAACATCTTGATGGTGTCGTACTGCACCGGCAGGGTGATCTCGCCCAAGGGTTGGCAAGCCTTTCCTAGGACGACCCCCCAGAAAGGGGAGTTGACGAGGGTGAGATCTTCCTTAGAGAGGCCTAGTTCAGACAAGGCGCTGGCGAAGAGGATGTTGAGGGCACTGCCACCTTCGATGAGGACCTTCGTGAAGCGCACCTTGCAGATGATAGTGTCTAGTACGAGGGGAAGCACCCTGTGTATGGGATCTTTGCCCACTGGTCAACCCTGCTAAAGGTGATGGGCTGCTCCGACTAGGGGAGGTATCTGGGGTAGGCGATGGTGTTGATGCCCCTGACGGATAAGACTCATCGGGAGGTGAGCTTCTTGTCGCGCTTGTTCTCAGAGGCGGCCAGACCTCCGAAGATCGTATGGATGGTCTTGCTAGGATCTTTAAAGGCACTGCCCGCATTGGGGGGTTTGCGATCCGTGCCACCATTGTTGTCTTCTACATGTTTCTTATCCACCTGGTCTTGGAAGATATTTGCTAAACCTATGCACTCCCGCATGGTTTGCTTTGTGCCCTTGTGAATCGGGCATGGGCCATCAAGGAGCTTGTCGAACTATGCGCTGTAGTTGCGCTTAGCATGAGGCTGCTCGATGGAGGTGGCGAAATTCTCTAGTCGGCGGCATCGGAGCTGTCCTGCCGTCGAGGTCTCCTGTCCATCACGATGGTCACAACAGTTGAGGCGATGCTCACGATCATCGTAACGGTGGTCTCGATCATCGTTGCATTGTTCATCGCGGCGTTCGTCGTTGTGACGTGGTGGACGATCGGGCCAAGGAACCTAGGTGATATCTTCACAGTGACGCAGGTCAGCCTCCTCAACGTTAGCATATTGTTTGGTGGTTGTGAACATCTTGTTGATCGACGTTGGTGGCTTCCTGTTGAACTTTCTGCGGAGCTCATCATGATGGTAAAGTCCTTGGATGAAGGCAGTGATGACCTCAGACTCCAAGATGTTTGGAATATGATTCCTGGCCTAGGAAAAACACCGGATGTAGCTCCAAAGGAGCTCGCTAGGCTTCTGATAGACTCTGGCTAGGTCATGCTTCGTCCCCGGCTGCTCACATGTAGCCTTGTAATTCTCAATGAACAACCTCTTAAGGTCATCCCATGAGTTGATGATATCTGATTGGAGGCTTGTGAGCCAATTCATCACAGCGGGCTTAAGCATGACAGGCAAGTAGTTAGCCATAACATCGGTGTTGCCGCCATCGGCCTGCATGGCGGTGGCGTAGCTCGTGAGCCATTGCTTAGGGTTGGCGTGACCGTCATACTGCTCAACACCAGAGATCTTGAAGTTAGGGGGCCACTACATAGCCCATGACTTTGCGGTGAATGCTCGTGGCCATCAATATCACCGGCGACAGCAGCATCACCGGCGGCTAGTGGAACAGCAACACTGGCAGCTGGTTGGGCGGTGTTGCTTGCAGCAGGCCAAGTAGTGTATCCAGCAGGCTGGGTGATGTTGATGGAGTGAGCCAGCTAGATTGGCTCAAACGTCGCCTCGGGGTTGCCCCATGCTTCATCATATTGCTAGCGGCGAACGATCTCCTCCACGTGGCGCGAGTTGCGCCGATTATCGATATGGCGATGAACGTCATGACAATTATTAAGATGTTGATGTAAGTCACCAGCAGATTATCGATATGGTTAGCGTTGGCGTTGGGGTTGGCATACTATGGCCGTTCCCCGGGATTGACAATGTAGTTGCCTCTCGATCCCCCTTGGAGATAAGGGCCACCTGCCTGGAGGCAACTTCCACCAGGTCGCTAGGACCGGCTCTGCATGGCCCAGCGGATCGGTTTGAGTGGGATGGCACCTGATTCTGGTGATTTTTATTAACCTAAACTTTAGCTGCTTTGAGCATGGCGGTGGCTTTGGCGAGCTCCGGTGACGGCGCGAGCCTGCTCAGCTTGTTCATGGCGATGGTGAGGTTGGCGCTCGGTGTTGGTAGGACCTCATGGCCATCAACTTGGATGAATTCTTCATTGAGGTTGCGAATGACACGGTGCCCTCCCTGGTTATGGGCGGCGCCGCCACCATCGGCCATGCCAGGATTGGCGTTTGCTGTGGCTGCGGCGACGTCTGCTTCACCGTAGCGCCAGGTGCAGTCAGCGTTTCTCCCTTCTCGTGTGATGCGTTGAGCGTCAGTCTCCCCATCACGAGTAGCACTATCAGCACTGATCATGAAGATTTTCCCGGTTAAGCATTTAGACAGGGATGGAGAGTTGGCGATGAGGTCGGTGATAGTCTCGGTGATAGTTTTGGTGGAGCCTTCTGATTCTGCCCTCGGATCTATCTCCAAGTTCAGGAGCAAAGAGTCGTCATCGAGCTGACAAATCTGCACCAAGTTGATGGCTGGTGCAAACTGGTCGGCGCTCGGCAAAATGAGCTCGGCGAGCGGATGAATGTCGCCGATCTGGTTGGCGTAGTGATTGTGCAGGGCCTCTTGACATGAAGTGGCCACGTTGGCTAGCCCATAGGGTTGAGCCATCGTGGGACCCCGCGTTGGAGCTTGCTGACCAATCCTAGCTGGTCAGATCCGAAGAGCGGTCGGCGCTGCACTGTGCGTCCTGGTGGAGTCGCCGTGATGGTCAGATCTGCATCTTGCCACCTCGGACGGCGTGATCGAGCGGAGCGCTTAGGCCAAACCACCTAGAATGGAGGTAAATCGTCGTCGTGAGGAGACCGATGTAGGACCGACTCTACGAGTGATAAGCATTCGACGAGCTTCTCATTAACCCAATCTATAGATGAGATCAGGTCATCCTGTTGGACGGGCTTCCTTAGCCGGCGTGACGCCGAAGGGCGAGCTGCCGGAGAAGAAGACGAATTCGGGAGAGATCCCAAGATGGGATCTGCTGGCACAGATGTCGGAGCTGCCAGCACAGGGTTGTCCTACACCGGGTGGATGACCTCCTCGTCGCCATTGGTGTTGACGACCTAGGTGATGGAACCGACCGTGAAGATTTGGCCGCCCTAGGAGCGAGCAGAGAGCTTGGAAAACGTACCATCTGGCTCGCCATGGGATCAAGCGCATAACCCTAGCTGGCGTGCCAACTGTCGACTAAATGTGCTCGGCATTCCACCGAGGGTTGTACCCACGATGGTAGATTGTCGTAGAGGTGAGCGAGATCAGGAGCGATATGGTGACAAGACACAAGATTTAGACAGATTCAGGCCGTCAGCTCGACGTAATACCCTAATCCTGTGTCCTATCGGTATATATTGGCTATCGTATATGATTGCGTGCGTTTTGAGAGGGGTCTCCTACCCTCCTTACATAGCCGGGGGTAGGGTTATATGCCGATCAGGTCTAAGTCTAATCGGGTAACAGATATTATTTACATGGAATGATACATTCGGCATATCCTAACTGATTCTATGAGATCTTTATGATGTCGTCGAGATGCCTTGGGGCGTAGGTCAAGCGATGCCGTGCGTCGTAATCCTTCGTCTTGTGGGCTAGACCGTCCCTGTTGATGCGGCCCACGTGTATCGCCGTGGGTACCTAACTGTAGCATTTCGTTTGTATTTGGTAATAATTGTCCAATCGTTGACTAATTAGGCTCAAAACGTTCGTCTCGCAAAGTACAACCTAACTGTGCAATTAGTTTTTGATTTCGTATACATTTAGTACTCTATGCATGTACCACAAGTTTAATGTGACAGAAAATCTTCTTTTTGATAGTGTCAAAGTTGAAAGTTAAGAGCAACTAAAAAGGGCCAGGATATTCTGCATACAAGACAAGAATCAATCTATCATATACGGCAACAGTTAATTATGGTCATATATATATATATATATATATATATATATATATATATATATATATGTTTGATATAATTAACAGGATCAACAAAACTGCCGCTGAAGGTGATTTGACGGTAGTTAAAACTCTGCCTGTTCACTTAGGCTTTTGTAGTTTATAAGCTATATTTTTTTAGTCAATACACAGTATTATTCTCTTCTATTAAATTTGTCCATGATATTTTCCCTCATGACTCGTCAGTCGAAGGAGCCTAAACGAACATGGCGTCTGTTAACCTTGATTAGGGAAAGCTGGGCCATCGCCTTTTCACCCGCGCCGGCCGCAGCTAGAGGCTAGAGCCCACCTACCGCCTCTTTCTTGCTGCCACCAGTTGCTTCCTCCAGAATCTTGACCGACCCCAAGAGCTTTTTGCTTGGGCGGCGCCGCGCCGCAACACGCCGCGCCGGCCAAGATTTAGTTGGAGCACAAGCAAGGAAGCTGGATGCATGATGCGCCCGTGCGCTCCGACCTCTAGATCGCCCCCACACTCCTGCTGCAGCTGCTACTGGTAGAGCACTCCACGGGTACCCCTATCTCTCTCCCTCCCTCTCTCTAGATTCGGTCATTGGTTTGTCTCCGCTACCAGCTTGGAATATGCAAATGTTTGGTTGCCGATTGGAGCTTGATTCTTGCCCGGCGTATATGGCGCAGGTGAGGGGATCCGTCAAACAGACAGTCCAAAGAACGAGCTGGTTCAAGCAGCTACCTTGGGACGAGCACTAGCGAGATCAAGAAGCTGGCGGCGAGCAAGTGGTGGGAGCGCGGCGGTGAGGGCGTCATGGCCGGAATGGATCCTGGCGACGGCGGCGGTGGGGCTGCGTCGCACTACCTGGAACTCCTCCGCGCGCAGCAGCAGCAGCTGCAGCACCAGCAGGGGCCGCTATCCCCGTCCTCCCACGTCAAGATGGAGCGCTCCGCGCCGTCGCCGGAGAACGTCGATCCCGGCGGGGATCAGCCCGCCTTGGAGGGCAGCGTGGGGTCCGGTGGGCCGACGAGGAAGCCGCGAGGGCGGCCGCCGGGGTCCAAGAACAAGCCCCAGCCGCCCATCATCATAACGCGGGACAGCCCCAACGCGCTCCACTCCCACGTCCTCGAGGTCGCCGCCGGCGCCGACATCGTCGAGTGCGTCTCCGAGTACGCGCGCCGCCGCTGCCGCGGCGTATGCGTGCTCAGCGGCGGCGGCGCCGTCTCCAACCTCGCGCTACGCCAGCCCGGCGCCGAGCCCCCGGGCAGCCTCGTCGCCACCCTGCGCGGGCAGTTCGAGATCCTGTCGCTCACGGGCACGGTGCTGCCGCCGCCCGCGCCGCCGGGAGCCAGCAGCCTCAGCGTGTACGTCGCCGGTGGCCAGGGGCAGGTGATGGGCGGGAGCGTGGTCGGCCAGCTCATCGCCGCCGGGCCCGTAGTCCTCATGGCTTCGTCGTTCGCCAACGCCGTCTACGAGCGGCTGCCGCTGGAGGCGGAGGAGGAAGAGGCGGCCACGGCAGCCGCAGCTGCTGCCGCTGCCACTGCCACCGAAACCCAAGGCCTAGCGGAGCCGGCCGAAGGACAGCCACAGCAACAGGAGGCGCCCCAGTCTTCTGGGGTGACGGGTGGCGATGGCGGTGGCGGTGGCATTGGCCATGGCATGTCACTGTATGATCTTGGAGGGAACGCGGCTGGCTACCAGTTGCCCGGAGAGAACTTCGGCACCTGGAGCGGTGGTATGAGGCCACCATTTTGATATGGCATGCCAATCTCTTTCTCTTGGCAATTGCATTTGCATCACAGCAATGCAGAGAAGCTCCTTAATCGTGCATTTTGGTTGAAGGCTACACTTTGACGAGGGCACGAGGCCATGTGATGATTTGCTGATAATGCATGCTGCCATGGTGGTCGACTGGAAATAATCCAGATCGATGTATACTTATACCCATCTGTGACTATGGAAAAAAAGTGAGTACTACCAACGATGCATGTCAGTTTTTGGGTGATCTATTGGTCCAACAAAATCCAAGGAAGGTCAGTAGGTCCAGTGTTAACTGTTTAGGGACAATCCTGTCGACACTCTTTTGCTTTAGAACTATCTTTGTCAAGTTGTCATGACATTTGCCTTTCACTTCTGTTTTATTTATTTAGAAGGATGCTTATTATGGCCTTTTTAATAGTACTTGCGTTCTTTCTATTACTGGTTTCATCTTTTCATTTCTGTTGACCTCACATTTTTTAGTTTAACTAAGGAAAAAACACAATGAACCAACAGTAGACTTAATGAGCATACGCATATATGGTTTTTTTCTTTCTCGTAGCCACAAACCTACAATGTTTTTATACCCACTTCATGAACACATAGTTATTGTTTAACATTCTCGTAAAATATTTTTTTGTCAGTACTCACCTTTTTCATGACTAGTTGGGTCCAACTTGTCCTTGACTTGTTAATGAATAGCCGGGCACAATTGTCAAAAAAATGACAATTTTTGTTTACATGTGGGCTTGATTTGTCATAAAAAGAACTGGAGTTATAGTTCTCACAAGAGTTCATGATTTGATAGGTTCAGGGCCTCTTTGGCAGGATATCCAAACCAAAGAAACAGGAAAAAGCACAAAACAAAGCAATAGGGAAAAATACAAGATTATTAGAGTTGCATTTTACTTGCAATCCTATATAGAAATTGGAACATAGGAATTGGAAAAGCAGTAAATTTTGTAATGGAGCATTTGGTCACTAGAGAAACATTGGAATTAGAAAAGAGATAGACACACAGGAAAGTTTCCAACCTCATATTAGAATTCCTCCAAAAGTCGTAAGAATTGAGCCATTGCATAGAAATTTTGTAGGAATTTTGGATCATCAATCCTTTGTTCTAAAGTACCACGTAGGAAAATTTAGGTTTACTGCCCTACAAAATTTTTTTATGAATTTGATGTTCCATAAGGAGGTCTTATTGAATAGGCACAAAATATTACAGGTCTATGAGACTGTTTGGCTAAGCCGCTAAGGTTTTGACGAGTTTGTACACTTTTTAAAGACAAAACTCAATACCATGTCTCGAAACCGCAGAAGGAATGAACTTTTTAAGTGTTCCGTAGGATTTCTGATGGTTATCGTAAAGTATAGAGTAAAAACTGGCTCTATACTTTGTCATAGTCTATAATTATTCGCTACGTGTCAACCTTCATTTTGTTTGTGGTCTATAAGAAATACCACAATCATTATGTTTTCTTATATTATAGTATTTTGTTTGTCCAAAAAAATACAATTCTTACTTTTTTAGAGAAATGATTTAAAATTTGATCAAAGTTATATATAAAAAAGTATTAATATTTATGATACAAAATAAATATTATTAAATTAATTATGAAATATATATTCATAGTAAACATAATTGGAGATATAAATGTAAATACTATTTACTCTAAATTTGATTAAAATTACATTAGTTTGACTTGTATAAATCCTATAGTTGCATTCTTGTTACATTCTGTTATGGACAAGCAGCGAGTGTATATTGTTAATGTGAATATAATTTGTGAATTGAGAAATTAATTATTTGGACAAAGATTATGTGATGAAAACCTTGACATGTACTCCGTACTCCGTACGGAAGGAGAGAGAGAGGGAGGGGGAGCACGGCAAAAGCTGGCAACTAGTCCTCTTCCTTCTGTCACAGCTAGTGTCACGTTTGTGCAGACCGACTTGCCTGTTTTTTTGTCTTGTTCAAACGAGTTGTCTCACTCAAATAAGGTTGGCAGAACTTTGAAGGTGCGAGTGCCATCGAATATGATTACCGTTTACTTACGTCAAAAAATATATATATGATTGCCGTTTGAGTCTGAAATTGCATGCCCAAACCTAATCTCCACTTTGAGCAGCCAGAGGCCGTTTGGTACAGCTTATTGAGCGGCTCCCGGAGCTGTTTTCAAGCTCTGTCTGCCAAACAGGTCAAAAGGAAAGCACTTCCTGTGCTGAGCTCCGAAACCCCGGTAGAACAAACAGGTAGCGCGTGGTGAAGCTGAAAATGGCAGCCTCCTCAGCACTGCGTCTGACAGCACGCGGGCTCGGACCTTCTGCCCATCATGCGCACGTGGCGAGGCCGGGCAGGTGCGACGAGGAGGCGGAAGTAGGGCGTGGGCTGCACTGGCGGGAGGAGCATGGGCGCGGACCGTAGCGACGAGGTGGAGCTCGATAGCAACGACGACACGAAGCTCAGGCGCCGGACTGCGGCCGCGACGATGACGCGGAGTCAACTTACCCGCCTCGCTTGCCGCAAAGTTTATTAGCGGGCTTGCGGCTTGCCACAAAGCTACGGATCATGCGGACAAGTATTCCGCGGACACAACAAACTTGTATGCAAAACCTGCAAGACCCGCAAGACGTACGGTACAATATCTAAAAATTATTAGTATCCCCAAGCTCAAGTCTGACCTTTTTCCAGAGGCCCTCCATCAATTGCCCTACGTTAGGCCTGTGCATTTCAGAAGTTGCAACAAATATATTCTTTTGGACTGACTTTCAAATTGCTGTAATCAGTCAGTGTACGGTAAGCAATCAATCTAGCTAAGCTGTATATTAGCAAGGAGTAAATGAGTATAAGAATTTCTTCAGTATATAATATGACTAGACGTCTAGACGTGCTTTTTATGATTATCTGTTACTTGGTAAAAAGGGCATATCATCCGGAACAACTTTCAAGTCTGCAGATTCAGATTCTTCTATCTCATAGGCAAGAATATCTGGCTGCGGAGCATCTTCAATCGTCAATTTACAGTTTATTCCAGTAATTCCCGCCACAACGCACATGTATCGCCTAGTTGCAAATGGAGTACTCCATCCAGGTTACATGTGGACTAGAGTAGTCAAGTCAGTGTGTGGAGATGGAAGGGAGAGCAGCGGAGGGTGTTGCGGGTCTTGCGGGTTGTTGCGAGGCTTCTCGCTCGTCCAACGGGCTTGGAGGGTTGGAAGTGTTTGGGCCACGAAAAAATTGCAGCTGGTCCACAACAGCCACGAAGCCCAGTTTTGCGGGGCGAGCGGGTGGGTTACGTTAACAACCTGCCCCGCCTGCAACTTGAATGCGGAGCATGGGCCCACCGACATCGGTGAGGCAGAGCTCAGTCGCAGACCACATGCTATGACGGCAAGGCAGAGGTCGGCCGCAGGTTGCAGGCCGCGACGACATGGCAGCGCTTGGTCACAGGCCACGAGGCATGACGGATCGGAGGCGACAAACAGAGGAGGCGTGTAGGGGTGGGAAAATACCTGATACTCAATCCCTGAACCCGAATTACCCAAACCTTGACCCAAAGTACTTGAACTCGAAATGCCCGAATTTAGTTTGGGTAGTTCGGGTAATACTTCCCGGTACACAAATTACCCGAAATATCTCAAATATATTTGCTCTTTTGTTCCTAATATGAAGACACGAGTTTAGCTCAATATAAATCTATTATTTGGCATGGCTAAATGTAGATCTATGCTAGCTTGATAATTGATTTTTTGTTAATTGATATTAAGACATGATGTGATTTGAAGGACCAATGTTTATTCCTTTAAAATGCTAATAGAATTCTAAGTTTGTTTTGTCATTTTTTTGGTATATCAGGTAAAACCCGAACCCAAATTATCGAGTACCCGATTTTGGGTAGTGTTGTTTTGGGCCAAAATCGGGTAGCAATTTCTAATACCAAAATTTTCAATTACCCGAATTATCTGACCCAAATTTTTTGGGTAACCCAAATGCCCACCCGTGTGCATCTGGTTGAAAAGATGAGGTGGAGAGAGAACAGGAAAAGTAAAATATGTGGGGGAAATGAATGAAGAAATAAAAAGAAGAAAAAGCATATAAGGGTATTATGGTCATTCTATTTTTTTTTGTCTACATAGAGAAATTGTTTTGACAAACGGTTTAAAAGATGAGGCGGAGAGAGAAAAGGTAAAAGTAAAATATGTGGATGGAAATGAATGAAGAAATAAAAAGAAAAAGGAAAAGCATGTAAGGGTATTATGGACATTCTATCTTTTTTTCTACCTAGAAGTTGTTCTGCCAAACGGTTTATAAAACAGTTTCAACTCCAGGGATAGAGCAGCTTTTGGAAGCCAACAAAAACTGATTCACTGGTGAAGCAGAGCTATACCAAGTACACCCTAAAAAGTTAGTGCATGATCTCCTAAGCTCCTTAACAGCTACTCCCTCCGTTTCAATTTATAGATCGTTTTCGCATTTATAGATACACAACTTTTTTTAAGGTTCAGCGGGGAAAATCCCCACCTGATTAGATACACAACTTTTATTATGTATCTAAACATACTATACTCTCTCTGTCCAAAAAAAAACAGTTGTTATGGACTCGTATTGGTCAAACATTCTTAAGTTTGTAGGAAATATTATATCATTTGTATCTCTATAAAAATTATTATAAAAATATGTTCAATGATCTATCAGAGATATCAATCATATACTATAAATATTAATATTTTTATATATTTGGTCAAAGTTACAAATGATTGACTTATCAGGAAGGAAGAATGACATTTTTATGGGATGAAGGGAGTATATCAAGATGCATAGCAAAAGTTATACATTTCTAGAAAATCCAGAATGACCTATCACTTGGGACAGAGGGTGATACTAGTTATATTAGGGTTTGTTTGGATGCATCCTTATTCACCTTAATCCATAAGTGTTGAAGTGGATCGGCGTAGAAATTAAACTACATTCCAGTTCAATTCACTTACGTTCCAAT